GGAGGGTAATTAAACGGAACGCGTCGCAGCCGGCAAACAGATGGCGTCTGCTTGTTCCGAGACCGCGGGCAAACAGCGCAAAAGTCAACGCCTCCCAGGTCCCCCCGCCCCCAGCGGTGCCCCCAGACCTTCTCCTAGTCCGCGCCCCCGAATCCTCGCCCTGGGTTCCCAGCCCCGGCCTCACACCGCCGCCCCACCTGGGCGGGGTCGGTCGTGAAGAGCGGGGTGGGAGATTTTTCTGGGCTTGGTGCTCTCACCCAGGACCCCCAGGCCCTGGCACAGCACCGGCGTCAGCGAATGATTCTGAGCCGAGGATCTGTGAGTGGGAGAGGAAGCCCCCCCTCATTCCTCAAAGGGAGGTCCGCGGCTTCCTCTCCAGGGTCCCAGCCGTAGGTAAGGCTGGGGCTCCGCTCCGGGAACACGCGATGGCATTCTACCTGAGGGTAGACCGGAGTGTCGGTGCTCAGTCACCTGCTGCGAGAGGCTGTAGGCTTCTGGGTGTGGATGGCCCAGGAGAAGATGTTCAGGAGCACGCTGAGCGGCCAAACTTTCTGAAGGGGGGGCGGGGACGGGGAAGTAGTGTCGGAGGTGAGCGCCCCCCAGGTGCGCAGGTGCGCTCAAGGCACGCGAGAGGGGCATGCCCAAACTTTTGCATGGGAAAGTGTGTGTGTGTGTGTGTGTGTGTGTGTGTGTGTGTGTGTGTGTGTGTGTGAAACTGGAAGCCTGGAGGCTCAGTCGGGTCCAAGTCAGGGGGTTCAAATCAGATGTGGCCTGCAAAGCTGGCGGGGCCGGAGAGCTTGGCCCAGGATGGGTTTATCTGCCTCCTACAAGAATACATTCGTTCCTAGGAGTACCTCAATATCGGGATCCTGAGAGGAGAGGTGAGGCTCCAGGACCTGTGGAGATGTGGACAGGAGTAGAAGAGGATCAAACGAGATGGGTGCCTGCCCCAGGGATGGGGTTCCTCAGGAAAAGACAGTTCCTTCCACATCCACGCGAGTGCCCCAGTCTCGACGCCCACAGCCTGGTCCCCGTGGGTTCATCCCCAGGGGCCTGGCAGCGAGCGCGAGGAATAAAACCTGTGCCACGGCCCACCCCACCCTCCGCCGAAAACTCAGTGGAGTCCTTTGGTTTATTTCGTTTTAAAATTTAAAAATACTTTTTTCCCCGAAAATTGTCTCCACCTGGCAAACTCCCCGAGCCGGAATCCAAGGGGAGCCAGTGCTCCCCTGACCCAGGCCCCAATTAGGGCACTGCACGACCTCCAAATAATGGAAGGGACATCAGGGTCCTGCCACTCCTGGGGAGATATCACCCCCCCAACGCCCTCCATTACCCTCACTCCGCGTGGAGACCCTCGCAGAAGCTGCCCCTTTTCTCTCGCCCAGACCTGCTCTCGGGCTCCAGCGAGTGAAATGTGTGTGTTTCTCACACACCGTTTCTGTTGCTGCCACAAACTCTTCTGATCCAAGCTCCCTCACGTCGGGCCTGGTGAACTTTCTGGAAGCGCTTCAGCCGATTCTTCAATGCCTCACCCCTTCAGACCCCTCCAGAAGGATGACGCTCAAAGTTCGCCTCTTCCCGAAGCGCAAGCGCGTGCCAGAGCCTCTCCCGAGCGCGAGGTTCTGCGGTCTGCGGTTGGTGGCAGCTTCCTCGGAGGGTCCCCAGTTCCTCTAGTGGGAAGAACTACAGGGCGTGGCCCAAAGCGCCACCTGAGGGAGGGGAGGCGCTGGGGCCCCGCGACGACCACGGCCCCTTCAGCAAGTCCAGGAGGGTCGGCGCCGGGGACCGCGTTGGGTGCGACTCCCGCAGCCCGGGGGGTTCACAAAAGCCAAGCGAAAACGCTAGGGCAGGAGTGGAGGGGACCAAAGAAGGAACTTCACTTTTCTCATTATGGAAACGAGTTTTCTTTTCTCTGAAAGTAAAAACGAGGGTGATCAAACATTAGATGCAAACACAGAAAGAAAAGACACGGAGATAGAACCAAAGTTGGGGAAACCCAGGGCCACCCCGCATCCATTCCAGTTGTTGCCATCGGAAGGAAAACCTTTTACCTACTCTTCAGACCCAGCTAGCTGTTCCTCGAGGCTGTGACGTCAGCGCAGGTGGGGTGCGGCGAAGGTCAGGGGTCTGGGGGGGCCACGTGCAGTGACCTTGTCTCGGGCTGGTTGGAACGCCAGGAAGGATAAAGTCCAGCTTCCAAAAGGATCTGGGGAGACGCAGAGGCTGCTTTTTACTTTGGTTTAAACTTGGAGAGAGAAAGTAAACTGAGTTAATTTAAAACCACGACGACAAAAACAAAACAAAAGGAAAGCCTTCCACAACCGAAAAGAAAGTAAAAAGGGGAGAGAGAAGAGTGCAAAGAGGCTCTGCAGCCAGCCGCGGGGCGGGGGGCGGCGGGGCGGGGAACCGCGAGGCGCCGGGCGCGCGGTTCCCGGGAAGCGCAACCTCATTTCTCCTCTCCGGGCTCTTCTTTAAAAACCTAAAATCCTAATAAACCGCACTTACCCCTCCAAGATACCTATGGTACTGGACGGAAGGAACTGAGCCTTAAATGCGGCTGGAGTGGGGGAAGCCACTCAGCCCCCCCCCCAACTATCCCCAAATACGTCCGACTTAGAAACCCAGCCGGAAAGACGCAAGAAAAATTGCCTTGGCATTTATGCCAAAACGCCCTCCCTTACCCACCTCCGTACGCCCGTTCTACTCCCACCCCGACTGCGGTAATTGAATTGTCACCTGCCCCCCCCCATCCCGCCCCAGGCCTCCAGGGCCACTTGGGAAGCTGGCCTTGCCAAGCGCCCCAGGCCAATGAGAGCTGCACCGCCGAGCCAGTGCCCCCAGAAGCCGAGGGGTTACACACGTCTACGTAGACAGGCACACCGGACACGGTAATTAGGAGCAATTCACACGCTCTCGGGCGCACGGAAACTTCTTGTCACGATATTCTCTACGCTCCTCCTTGCCTACTTTTTTCCACTCCTTCCCTGGCGCGCCCCCTCCCTTCCCCCAGGCACACAGTGGAGCTTTTGGAGTTTCGAATCTTTCGGACACTGTAGAATGAGGGGCTCCCCGGGCGCGGGCCCGGCCAATCAGAGCGCCGTCTGCCTCCCCTGGCCAATGGCAGGCGCCACATTGTTGTCCAATTCTGTCTAATGGAGCCCTAAGGAGTAACAATAGAGCGGGCGAGCGGCTCATTGAGAGTCTGGCAGCGCCGGGCAACTGGGCCCCGGCAGAGCGCTGCGTCCCGCGCGCACCCGGAGGGGATCGGCACGGCAAGAACTGAGTCTCGGGGTGCAACCAGCTGGCCCCCAAACAGGCCCCCACCCCTGGCCACGATTTCCGACGGGAGGGTTAAACGGCTCTGTTCTCTGAGGGGTCCGGAAGTTCGGACATGGTGCCTGAAGGAGAGTGACGTGTTCTGATAAGGGGCCGGGGGCAAGGGGAAGAGGCCAGGAGTGCCAGCGCCGCGAGCAGAGCTGGGAGGCGCGAGGAGCGCCGGCGCAGGAGGAGGAGGACCCCGGAGCCCAAGGCAGGTAGTTGAGGGCCGCAGGGAGAGCAGGGGAGGAGACCTGGCCTGCGGCCCTTGTAGAGAAGGCCCAGGCACCGCGGGGCTCGGGGACTGAAAGCCTGAAGGGTCTGGGGGAAGAGGTACATGGAGGTGGTCTGGAATTTCCAGAGTCCGATTCCAGACACAGTCCGGACTCTGGCGGGGGTTGGGATCCGGGCGACCAGCCGAGGAGAGGTCTGGCGGAAAGCTAGAGACGGGGGCCTGCTTGGGGCCTTCTGGGACTCGGGCGCAGGTGAGACTCCCGTGTGCGCTCTTGACCAGTTCGGGAGCTGACTTTCCCTGCTTTGTGTTGGCCGGCTGAACCATCCAAATCCCCAGATCCCAACTTGGACATCAGTACGCGAGAACCTGAGCTCCAGCGGGGTCCCGGGGGCCGGGGGGGGGGCAGGATGAAGAGGGCGTGTCTGATGACTCTGTCCCTCAACTGGGAAGGGTAGGGGAAGCGATGCCTAACTTTTCACAGGATATTTCTCTTCCTGGACTTGTTCTCCAAGCTATGAGACTAAAATCTGAGCCACGGGTTTTGCCTGAGTTTTTCTTATGTAATTGGGTGTCCCTGTGTCACGCTGCTGGACTCTGGGTCCTGGGACACTCTTATCAACTGTTTTCTCTGCCCCTCAAGCTAATCTTTGGGCTGGGTTTGCCTATCCAAAGAAAGTTTCTTCTGCAGAATTTCCTCTTTAATCCTTCTCAGTCTCCTAAACTCCGCTACACACCCGTTTTCTTTCCCACTCTCCGGAGGCCTGAAATATAGAATTTCCAGAGCTCGCCATTTTTATTGGTTCCAGAGCCAAAGGCCTAACCTCGCTCCTGAATTTGTTCCCTAGCCCTCACTCTCATTTTAACGGAAAGCAATACTGTTCCCGATTTTCCTCACGTTCACCGTATTCAAAACAATAAACAACCTCCAACCCCCATACTTTCACCATTCCACCAAAGGGAACGTTTTCCTCCGGGCTTTTTCTGTTTTGCCTTTAGCATCGGTTCGTTGGTTCCAAATTTTCTCTCTAATCCTAGTCCCATTCACACAAACACTTGGCTTTTCCCGTCTCACCCCAAATACCTAAGCTGTTGGATTTCTTTTCTTTTCTTTTTCAAACCCTCCTCCGACTTGTCTGAACCAGTGACTTTCAAACTTTGTGTCTTTCTAACTCCCCCACCCCCCACGCCCAGGAACCACTGATTCAGACTTAAACTTACACCCGCCCACGTGAATCCGCTCTCGGAGCAGCGGCGAGGGGAGTGCGGCGGGGGAGCTCGGGTTCCGAATGCACCTCTCTCCAGACGATTTGGCAACCGCTAGCCGAACCTCCGTAGCCAAACTTTGCCCTTCTCAGCTTGGGTTCTTTTTAAGCTTAGCGTTTCGTGCTTTCCTCACGCAGGTCTCTTCCTTCCCCCCCTCCCCCCAATCTTCCAAGCCAGATCCTGCCATGGAGCTACGCTCCGAGCTGCCCAGCGTGCCCGGAGCGGCGACGGCAGCGGCGACAGCGACTGGGCCGCCCGTGGCGTCGGTGGCGTCGGTGGCGGCGGCAGCGGCCGCCGCCGCGTCGCTCCCGGTGAGCGTGGCCGGAGGCTTGCTGCGGGCGCCGCCGCTGCTGTTGCGGGCGGCGGAGAAGTACCCGCGGACCCCCAAGTGCGCGCGCTGCCGCAATCACGGCGTGGTGTCGGCGCTCAAGGGCCACAAACGCTACTGTCGTTGGAAGGACTGCCTGTGCGCCAAGTGCACGCTCATCGCCGAGCGCCAGCGCGTCATGGCCGCCCAGGTGGCGTTGCGCCGGCAGCAGGCGCAGGAGGAGAACGAGGCGCGCGAGCTGCAACTTCTCTACGGCACTGCCGAGGGCCTAGCGCTGGCCGCTGCCAACGGCATCATCCCACCACGACCCGCTTACGAGGTCTTTGGCTCGGTATGCGCCGCCGAAGGCGGGGGGCCCGGAGCTGGAGCTCCGGCGGGGACCGGAGGTGGCGCAGGGGGCGCAGGTGAGAGCGCGGTCAGGCCGGGCTGATGGGGGCAAGAGAAGCAGGGTCAGCAGGTCAGCGCGCCCACGGCCGAGGGACTGGAGTTTTCTTAGGACAGAGTCCCCTTCTCCAAACGCCCAGAATAGAGTTCTCTGCGCACGCAGCTCCAATATTGGATGCAAGGCATAGACTCCCTGTACCCCCCAAAGACTTTCTTCTCTCCTCTTCCTGAAGAGTTACGCTTTATTCGTAATTTCTGCGAATGCAGACATTTTTATCGTAATTGTTCCTAGGCAAGGACTGGACTCTAGCCAGCTCTTTACTCCACTTAGCTTGGTCTTTTCCCCTTACCCCCAAATCCTCAGAAGAAACCCACATATCTTATTCCCCCCCCCTTTGCTATTTGAGTCTCTGTGTCCCACTTTTCCTTTCCGCTCTTTTCAGAAGTCCCATCCTTTACAATTCTTCTGCCCGCATTGCTTTCCCTAGGTAATGCAGATGCCTGTAATCATTTTCCCAGTGTGGTTCCATGTGTTCCTAATGCCCCCTAGATAACTGCACACTACTCCGCCTCCTTCTTTCTAGCTTTCTCAGGGTACTCACTCTCCTGGTTTCCCAGACAGAACCCCTTTCCTCGTTTTCTGTCTACCCCTTGCCTTCACTCAGTCACCTTTTCTGGACTCCCCAGGCTTTTTCTATGAGGATGAAAACTACCATCGGACATGGGGAACAGCTCTTAGCATGGGAGGGGAAAACTTTTTAGGTCTTGACTTGGGAAAGGGCAGATTAGAAAGAGGGGCTGTACTTTGGTCTATAGAGAAGCTTGAGAGCGCCTAGCTTAATAGATTCCTTTCTTCCTTGAAGGCTGTCCAGAACCAGGTTGCCTCTTGGACCACGTGGTTTAGTGGGGTCTTCTTCACAGTGGTGAAGTATAGGTAGAAGTTACGTTTAGCTCCTGTTTTAATTTTGGACCGTGCCTCTTCTCTAGGGCTTAAGGGTTAAAGTGGAGGTATTGGGGCACAGATGTGGAGACGGTAGCAGTGAACCTGAAGTTTACAGGGCGCAAGTGGTTGGGGTTCTGGGTACAGAAAGACAGAGAGCAGACTGGGTCGTGAAGGCCCCGATTAGGACCAAATAAGGGCTCAGACTCCACGTGAGAGGAAACGGGGATTCAGAGGATTGAGATGCTGTGGGTGCCGTCTTCTTCTCAATCGCCTTTCACGTTTCTGTTTTCTCCCTGCTTAGAGGCCAAGTTACAGAAGTTTGACCTGTTTCCCAAGACGCTTCTCCAGGCAGGCCGCGCAGGCAGCCCGCAGCCGCCACCCGTGAAGCCCTTATCGCCCGACGGTGCAGACTCGGGTCCGGGGACGTCATCCCCAGAGGTGCGGCCCGGCTCAGGCTCAGAGAACGGGGACGGCGAGTCCTTTTCGGGGTCACCGCTAGCCCGGGCCTCCAAGGAGGCAGGTGGCAGCTGTCCGGGTAGCGCGGGCCCTGGAGGCGGCGGCGAGGAGGACAGCCCAGGCTCCGCCAGCCCCTTGGGCTCCGAATCCGGTTCGGAGGCTGACAAAGAAGAGGCCGAGGTCCCGCCGGCTCCAGGGCTGGGCGGAGGCCCCGGTCCACGGCAGCGGACGCCCCTGGACATCTTGACACGGGTCTTCCCTGCCCACCGGCGAGGCGTCCTGGAGCTGGTGTTGCAGGGCTGCGGCGGCGACGTGGTACAGGCTATCGAGCAGGTGCTGAACCACCACCGCGGAGGCCTGGCGGCTGGCCTGGGCCCCGCTGCGCCCCCGGATAAGGCCGCAGTCGGTGCGGCCGCAGCCGGGGACGACGCGTGGCCAGGTCGCGTCGACGCCGCGGCCGCAGGGGCCCCCGGGCTGCCCTCGCCGCTGCAGGCGGGGCCTGCCGCTCCCCCGCACCATAGACCCTTGCTGGCCGGCGCTATGGCGCCTGGGGCGCTCGGCTCGCTGAGCAGCCGCTCGGCCTTCTCGCCACTGCAGCCCAACGCCAGTCACTTCGGCGCGGACGCGGGCGCCTACCCCCTGGGCGCGCCGCTCGGCCTCAGCCCGCTGCGCCTAGCCTACTCCGCAGCGGCGGCGCACAGCCGCGGCCTGGCCTTCATGGCGCCCTACTCCACCGCGGGCCTGGTGCCCACGCTCGGCTTCCGCCCGCCCATGGACTACGCCTTCAGCGATCTCATGCGCGACCGCTCTGCCGCCGCCGCCGCCGCGGTGCACAAGGAGCCCACCTACGGGGGCGGCCTGTACGGGCCTATGGTCAACGGCGCCCCGGAGAAGCAGTAGCGCCAGGGGCCCAGCAGCAGGCGGGGACCCCCTAGCATTAACCCCAGCCTCGTCCCCGCGGGCCGCCCGGTGCGCCCCGTGTGGCCAAGGCGCAGGTCCCTTCCCCCCCTCCCTCCCCGAGGTGATTTTTCAGTTTTGTTTTAGAGGTGGGCAAGGGGGGAGGGCTGGAGAAAAGGGGAGCAGCCACAGGTGTGGGTGTGCGGCCTGGATTCCCCCTCCCGCCTGGCGCCGCCTCCCCACCGCCCCGCTCCAGCCCTGTTCTGAGAATTCCACGGGCAGCGGCTGCGCGCGCTCCGGCTGCGGCTGTAGCTACGCTCCGGCCGCCCGCCACGCGCCCGCGTTCTCCCAGGGAGGGAAGGATCGTTCCAATCTCCCGTGTCTCCCCAGTCCTCTTAATTTTTTTTAAAGAAAAATCCGCTCTAACAAATATAAATTTAGGATGTATACATTTCTTGGCACTGAGTTGCGTCTTTGGGACACACATATATATCGATATCAATTGTAAAAAAAAAAAAGTTCTAAGGTGCACTTTCCTCGTTGCGGTATTTGTCGCTCTCTTTGTTGCTTATGCGGACAAGCATGGGTTTCCTTGGTGCAGTGTGAGTTTTTATATATGTATAAATCTATATATATAATCTATACATATATATACAAGCCAGTGTATAATGTTATAAAATGGAATTCTAAGTTATTAATTGTAATCTGTAGGTGACCTCGGTATTAACGTGAAAAGCATTCAAAAACAAAAAAAAGGACAAAAATGGAAAAAGTAGACTATGTGCGCATTGTACCGATCAGGTTTTATAGATTAAATATACTGTAAACTCGGGAGGGATCCTGTGCCCTCTAGCCTGCGGCCGGTCACTTCCGACGAAGCGGTCAAGGTGCGCACTGAAGCGGGGCCCGCGGCGCGCGGTGACCGAGCCAGGCCGCGCGCTCCCGGGACTCGCCAACCGCCGTGCGGCAGAGGCCTGCGCATTTGTGCTTTCCTTTGCATAGGTATGAGCTAGAAATAAATGTTATTTTCTAAGAAAACAACGCCCGAATCCCGTCCCGCTTCTCCAGGCGGCGGGGAGGAAAAGGTCTTGATTTCCCGTTAGGGGCGGCGGTGGCCCGGAGAAGCAAGATCGAGGCCAGGCCCGGGCTCCGATCCTCGGGCACTGGGACAGGAAGCTGCCCTGGGTACCCATTCGCACCAGAGCAACGACCCCCCCCCCGCCCCAGTGCACCGCCAGGGCAGGGGTAGGGGTGTGTGTGTGAGAGAGAGGGGGGTAGGAACGCTGGCCCCACCAGGCGCTGGGGTTTCAGACTGGAGGCCAAGCCTCCCAAGGACCCGGGGAGACTGGGGGCGCCCTCGCAGCTCTCCCCAAAACCGTGGGGTGCAACTGAGGTGGTGCAGCCTCAGAACCTTCTCAGAGGTTCGGAGCCCGCGGCTGTAGAGGCGATGGTTGGGGGACGTTACGGGGTCGGGGGGCTGGCCTGCGGGCCTGGGAGAGAGTTTGGGGTGCGGTGCCGCCAAGTCCCCAGTGCGTTGAGAGTGGCTGCGAGGACGCGTCTATGGCCGGACATCAATGGCTTCTCCACCTTCTCTTCTCTGGCCGAGCCGAGCAAATTAGCGGCTCCGAGGCTGACTCCCCCCACTCCTCCCCCCTTCCCCGGTCATTCCCCCAGTCTAGGAAATTGGGTGCCCCCTCCCCTAGGCTGGGTCGGCGACATCCCAAGGTAAACTTCTGGGGCCCGGCTCGAGTTCCGCCAGGCGGTGAAACTTAATAGCCGGACAAGAAAACGGTTTAATAAAGAAGGGCTTTAATAGGGAGCTAATTTGATTGAGTTGCCTAATTCCACTTTAATTGGAAAGGGGGTTTGGCTGTTTGGTTATAAAGTGCGAGGGTGACGGAGAGATGGGAAATGGGGCGGGCGGGGGGAAGGAGAGAGATGGGACAAGAAGGGGGAATGGAACCTGGAAGGGAAGAAGAGAGCTTAGAACGAGAAAAGGGGTAGAAGAAAAGAGGAGGGCGGGATGAGATTTAGGAGCTTCTAGAAAAGTGGACTTTCTTGCTCAGGATGCTTCAGCCTGAATTTCCAGCCTCCCACGTCCTCTCCCAACTCTTTTTAAGTTTTCCGGAGTATGTGCTACCCTCTCTCTAGTATAGCCGCCGGGGCCCCAGCCTCTGTCTCTAAGGTCTGCCTGGGTTTCTTGATTTCGGGAGGGATCTGGGCTGGGTACCCCGAGGCTCCCCGGCCGGTCCTTGCTGATGTTCCCTGCCAAGCTGGTGGGTAATAGTTACTCAAGCCATCCACACCTTCACCGATTTCACTGTTTTTCCTTCATCCTCGCAGCAATCTGGGGGAGAATCCAGTTAGCTCCGTTTTATAGAGGAAACTGAGGTCCAGAGGAGTCCAAGGACCTGTCCTACTGTCATCAGTGCTCCAGATTCCCGCGGGATTCTTTCCTCCCCTGTTCATGTCTACAGCCCCGGGAGAAGAGGCTTCTCCAGATAGTCCACATAGCCCAGAAAGGCTGCCAGTGCCTCCCCCGGACCTCAGGAATGGACCTCCAGCAGTGGGAGTACTGGATATTGGGGCTCCCAGGTTTCTCTCACGCCTAGGCTGGTTCTTCACGGTGGCTCAGGCCCTAGCCTGAAAAGCCTAGAGATTCAAAGTTGTCAGTTGCAGCCCTGGACTCATGGCAAAGTCCTATGCCCACAGCCTGTCACAGACAGTCCAGGATCCCCTTTTAATAGCCAGTTTAAAAAAAAAAAAGGCCTGGACACTGACAAGACCCAGAGTTGCTCATCCAGACACTGTAGCGCCAGGGCCAGAACCAGGGCCAGAACCAGGGGGTGGGTGGCAATGAGGAGGAGGTGGTGGGTAAGGTCCTCTGCTGGGGGGGGGGCTTACCCTGCTGACTGGAGGAGGCTGTGCACTACCCAGCCTGTGCTCTTGGAAGGGACATGGGTAGCTAGGTCCCTGGCAACAGTTTCCTGCTTGAGAGAGAGGGCGTCCCAGCTAGTGTAATCGTTTTTTTTTTTTTTGAAACATCAGTGTAACCTGTAACCTCTTGTACTTGGGAAATAAGACTTCCTTCTCTGACTGTCCATATTTATTTCCAATTTCTCCCCAAAGCCAGCTGGAGCCAGAAAGGGCAGCTGTGGGTAGCTCTGCCTGTGGGAGAGAGAGATTCAGGGAAGGAAATGGCTATTTAAAATTTATTTTCTTCCTTCTCTTCCTCCTCTTCCTCTTTTTCCTTCTCTTCCACCCATTGTTGAGTGCCTACTGTGTGCCAGGCCCAGTGCTACACGTGATGCTCCCAGGAATCTGCTCAGAGGGTCAGACCAAGAACTGAGAGCCAGGTTCATCCACTGGCTAGGGTTATCGGTTCACAAATTACTCCAGTCAGTAAATATTTACAAGGTTTGCACTTACTGCATGTCAGCTCCGATTCTAGGACCTCAAGATACAGAAATACACGACAGGGCCATCTCAGCCCCCTCAATGTGTTGAGGAACGCAGTGGCCACTAGAGGAAGCTGCCCCAGGGAAAGAAAGGCTGGTGAGGCCAGGTGCTTAACCTGGTTTCCTTCTCCATTAAATGGAGCTAATAGCAGGGTCTGTCTCTGGGTGCCGTGAGGATTCAATGAAACTGTGTAACAAGTATCTACCCTAGAGCTGGGTGACCACTACTATTCTTGTAGCCTTTGCAATAGGGGCTGGTGTCCCACTGAACAGAAAATAGACAGCTCAGGGGGATTAAGGTGGACCTGTAAATTCTCTGGGTGTCTCAGAACGGCCACAGAGCTGTGTGGGAGAGCGTGTGAGTCTAGAGTGCCTCTGAGAGGACGGGAAGCAGGCAGCTGAGCTCTGAGCTGGGCAGCGAGAGGCAGCCCTGAAAGTTAAGGAGGCTGAGATAGGACACAGGTCAGAAGAGCGAACCAGGAGTGCCCTGGTGAGCCAAGGTTTCCGCGTGAAGGGATAGGCAGCAGCGCCTAGTGAGGTATGTGTTTGGGTTTGGCAGACTATTAGATTCAGGGAAAGGCCGACTCCCTCAGAGGAAGAGCCATGAAAAATGATAGTGTTGAAAAATGGTCAGTGGGAGTAGGGAAGAGGATCTTCCAGGAGCCAGACTCCCCACTGCTGCTCCAGAGAGGGCAGCTCATGATTGATCCTTGGGTGTCTAGTCAAGGACTGGCACTGGAGGTATGAGATCCTAATATAGAGGCAAGATTGGGTGGTGAGCAAAAAATGTCAGTGTTCAGCACCGAGAGTTTGAAAGACTTCTGGGCCTTATGGTAAACACAGTCAACATAGAGACTACAGCAAAGCCTTAGGAGGGGCAGGGTGATCTGACACCTCACTCCCTGCCACAGGCTAGAGGGTTCCGTGAATGGAGGCGGTGGGCCTGGGATGGCTGTCAATTGCCCCAGTGTTGAGACTGATTCTTACACTTGTGCTTATGGCAAGAGGACTGTCCTCTTAAAATTATTCGCTTTACATCTCTGAATGTTCTGAGGCAGGACCCTGGGAAGATTGTCCCTACACCAATCATGACACTGATAAATTCTTACCTGTAAGGTCCCTTTCAACCTGTCTCTGTCCTTCCTTCCTTCCTTGCTTCCTTCCTCCTTCCCTCCCTACCTCCTTTCCTTCCTTTGTCCATGTGTCTTCTTTTCCATGACTTTACTCCAGCCACCCAGCTCCTTGGACTCACCCAACACACTGTACACTCACCTGCTCTTGACCCATGCAGACCCTGTACCCTTCACCTTTTTCTTTAAATTGAGAACTGTCCTTATCCCCTTTGAGTCCAAGATTTCCAGATGATTTACTATGATATCAATAAAATTTGAGGGCTCCTCCCTAGTCCAGTCCTGCTCAAGGTTTTCTACTTTGTGCAGATGCTCAAGTGACTTCTTTTTCTTAAATCTTCACATTCCATTAAAAACTACTTCTGGGGCTGGGAATGTGGCTCAGTGGTAGAATGCTTGCTTATCATGCATGAAGCCCTGGGTTCGATTCCTCAGTACTATATACACACAAAAAAGCCAGAAGTGGCACTGT